AATTTAAGATCAACCCAGGATCTACCCTGTCCCTTCCCCGAGGCCCCGCTGCTTCCCTGGGGACCCTCCCCAATCACTCATGGGGCTGAGAGGAGCAAGGAATGGGCGGGAGGAGCCAGTGGGCTGGCAAAATCTTGAGGCGCAGTGCAAGCAGAGCAGGCCGGGGCCCCTTCTGAGCATGGGCCTGGCTCCATGGTGCCACTCGTGCCATTGTAAACCCAGTACTGGAGGATGGGGTGAGGGCTCTGGGAGGGAGTTTGGTTCAGGAGGTGGCTCTGGGCTGGTGCAGAGGACTAGGGTGCAGGAGGAGGTGAGGGGTCTGGGAGAAAGTTTGGGTGCAGGAGGTGGCTCTGGACTGGGGCAGGGGGTTGGGGTGTGGGAGGAGGGCGGGTGAAGTGGAGGCTCCAACCAGGAGGTGCTTACCACAGGTGGTTCCCTGCCTGTCCTGGCCCCACGCTGCTCCTGGAAGCAGCTGGCTGCTGACATGTTTCTGTGTCCCCTGGGGAGAATGGGGGTACCAGTTGTCCATCTGCTGCCCACAAACGCTGCCCCCACAGCTCCCATGGGCTGGTTCCTGGCCAATGGGAGCTGCAGGGATGGTGCTGGGGGTAGGGGCAGCATGTGGAGACACCTCACACACACATACACACACACACCCCCAAGGGGCCGCAGAGATGTGCCAGCAGCCAGCCGCTTCCGGGAGTGGCGTGGGGCCAGGGCAGGCAGGCAACCTGCCTGAGACCTGCTGTGTCGCTGGACTTTTAGCAGCCTGGAGATTGCGATCGACTGGCAGAGGCTCCAGGATCAGTCCAGGTTGGCGACCACTGCCCTAGCCTCTGTTTGCCAGAAGCTGGGAATGGGCGACAGGAGTGGATCACTTGAGGATTACCTGTTCTGTTCATTCCCTCTGGGGCACTTGGCATTGGCCACTGTTGGCAGACAGGATACTGGGCTCGATGGATCTTTGGTCTGACTCAGTATAGCCGTTCTTATGTTCTCTGTCACCAGCGCGGTTTTCTTCCCTCGTTGACAACCCCAGGAGAGAAAAGTGCCACTCCAAATTAAAGCTCTTGTCTGAGCTTCCATGCAGGGAGAAGTGAGGGTTTGAGGTCAGAGAAGGGGAGAAGGAAGCCCAGGGACAAAGCTGAAGACTGACAGCTTGCCCCTGATGATTGGTGACAACATGCCATTTCTGACCTCTCACTCCCTGAGCTGGGACCACTGTGCAGGCAGAGAGCTCAGCCTCAGGGCTGGAGGGAGAGAACGGAGTTCCTCATTTTGCTCACCAGCATGCCTTCCACCTGACTTCAAGGAACACCGCTAGACTCAACATCACAGTCCTCGGTGAATGCTGCATGGGGGGTGCTAGGAATCTGAGCTCCATGGCTAAGTGTCTGAAGTTGCACCAATGACTAATTCACTGGTTGTGCAAAAGGGGGTGAAGGCCACATAGGGTGAAATCCTGGCCCCACTGAAATCAAGGGCAAAGCTCCCATTGAATTCAATGGGGCATGATTTCACCTCTGGAGTTCAGAAAAGGGTGAGCAGCTGGAAAGGAGGATGGGGTCAAAAGAGGAAATATCAGGGGGAAAGTCTCTGAGGCAATTCAGGGGTGGTACCCAGAGACAAAACGTGACTCTGGCAGGGATATGATGTAAAGCTGCCTCTCTCACCATGGCAGAAATCCCTGTGGCTCTTGGCAGCACACACAGAGCCCCCCCCCCACAGACCCTCCTCCCCATTGCTGTCAAACACCATTTCCCCATGCTAAGTATGTTTGAAATATTACCCAATTGGCACCATTTTATACAATATTCAGCTAGCTTGTACAGACTGAAGCCATAGTAATTCTCTGCTCAGAGTGGGGGTAAGGCCAGGGGTTGGGAGCTGGTTGATCTGGATTGCCTTCCTGAATCTGCTTCAGAGTCTCTGGGTAACCTTGTGCCATTCTCGTACCCTCTGTGTGCCTCAGTTTCCCCATCTATAACATTAGAAGAAGAATACTTCCCTACCTCACAAGGGTCCTACCCAGGAAATTACTGAAGCACCTGTTTAAATCCCACTAGCGCTGATCAGGAATTCCTTGGTAACTGTTTTCTTGTTGAAAATGTTGATTAATCAAAATCAAAACAGGAAAGGATAAGTTTGGCCAAAATTCTCAACTCAAAGAAATGTTGAAAAGCAAGTTTTTGAAATTGTCAAAATGTCCCGTTTTGACTTTTTTTAAACCAAAAATTCTGGTTTCCCGGTTTGAAACAAATTTTAGTTTCAAAATTTGAGCTCATTATAGTAAAAAAAACAAAAAACAAAAAACAAACAACCCCAATTTTAAAATTAAAAAAGTTGAAATTAAAGCAAAATGTTGGTTGATCCAAACCATTTTTTTTTAAATCTCAAATCACATCCTGCCCAGCTCTAAACCCCATTGATTTTAAGCAGATGTGTAAGTGGTGCCCTAAATTGGAGCCAGAGAGATTGCAGGGATTAATTCATTCTTATTTGTAAAGCATTTTGAGACCCAAGTGCAAAAGTATAACCCGTTTTGCATTATATATGGATAATACCTTATTTGTTGATAGAATAATATATTATTTCCAGATGAACATATTGCCTGTATTATATATATTTGTACCAATTATACATTTTACTTTGTTTCGATAATGACATTATACAGCATATGATATAGGATTGAAGTTACTCAGTGTAAAGCGATAGGTATAATAAATTATTCAGAGTAAATGCGATAAAATACATGGCTGTTTTCAGCATATTCCCGCCCTTTCCCATCGTATGCAATGGTTTCAGTTTTAGAACATGGAAACAGTTCTTTAAATGTTAGTGTTACATTGCACCCCTGAGCAGCTCATCAGGAGCCAGGACTGAACCTGGGATGGGTAGCTCTCAAAACATGAGCCTTTACTGCCCAAACTAATATAAAAACAGCCATATTGGGCCAGGCCAATGGTCCAACTAGTCCAGTCTCCCGTTTTCTGACAGTGGCGGTGCCAGATGCTTGAGAGGGAATGAACAGCACAGGGCAATCATCAAATGATCCATCTCCTTTTGTTCAGTCCCAGCTTCTGGCAGTCAAGACACAGCAATGAGGAACCAGGCTGTAGCAGACTCATCAACCTTTGTGTTTCTGTGGCCCAGCCACTGTGTCACTGGAGGGTGACAGAGCACTGCACTGAGTGGGTTACACTGGCAGTGTGCCTGATCGCTTGTGCGGAAATGTTTCCCACACATCTTTCCCTCACAGTGGTTGTCCTGAGGCCCAGACTCTCCATGTGTCTCTTCATGGGCTCTTTGTGCAGCGTCCTCTGCAGCTGGGAGGGTTGCTTGTCTCTTTCTAAGTGCCAGGTGGATCAGGCCTGAATCCAGGGAATCCCAGGATTCAGGCCTGATCCACCTGGCACATGCTGAACAACAACTCCCTGTGGCCTCTTGGTGATATCAGTTGTCCATGCTTCTCAGCAGATGGCTCCAGGTTTGATCCTGCAGAACCTCACCTCAGTAATTTTTGCCATTGACTTCAGGAGGGCTAGTTACATGAGTAGCCTCACTTGAAGTATTCCTCACTTGAGTAAGGGGCTTCAGGATCAGGCCCTTATGCCCTGATCCCATGAAAGTCCACTGCAAAACTCCCATTGATTGTAATGGTGCAAGATCAGGCCCTTGATGAGTTTCCTACTGGTCCCTACCAGCTGGGGCATGTAATGTTCCCCTGCTGCCAGCCCCATTGTGCCAGTCTGCCCAGTCTCTGAACCTGGCCTTGCACCTCTCAGCTTGCCCATGTATATCATGGGGATCATGGCAAAATCTCCAATTGATTTGTGTTCTAAAAGAAGTTGTAAAAGGGGAACCTGCAAAAATGCACGCACGTCTATTCCACATGCAAAAACTTGCCCATGTCCACACAAATTGCCACTTTGCTTGCACAAAAGAAATAATTGCAGTCACAATGGCCTGCTTGGAGTGCGTGAGGGCATGTTTTTGTGGAGGCATACACATTTTTGGGGAAACACTACTGCCTGTGAAAAGATGCCTAGAAAAACTAACTCAAAATTCACTAAGCAAATATGTCTTCAAAATGGAGTAGAAAAACATTCCTTTCAAGACCTTGCATAATTTGGGTAGGGTCAGTCTGAGGGGACTTTTACGTAATAATCCAAGATGACCAGGAAGGGTAGAATCGGTTAAATACTTATGGCTTTGTGGTGCTTTGAATATGAGGTACTAGGAGATCCTGGAATTACCCCGAATTTGTCCATCACTACTTAATAGAATTCTAAAGCACAATATCCACTGGGACATGTGTGGTCATCCGGGTGTGAAGCTCCTACAGAACCACTGTTCAGTGAGGTCTGCCCCAGCTCCTACTGTAGTCAATGGGCGTCTTTCTGTTGACTTTGGTGGAAGTTGGATCAGGACTTTAACCCTATTGTGCGCCACAAGCAATGCACATTTGGTGGGGTGGCCCACTGCACTATGTGGACAGAGGTCCAGCCATAGGGCCGTACATAATCAGGCAGCCAAAGGGTGAGGCTCGTTCCACTCCGGGTATAGTCAGGAGGGCGGCAATCAAGTACGTATAATTTCTTCCATCTCACAGATGATGATCCGACTGAGGGAGTCTCCTGCCTGTCTAGCACCAACTCAGACTTAGCTAACATTGGGCACCTGGGTCAGTCACAGACCGGACTGTTTTGTTCCACATATTCAGTACCAGGGGTTCTGAAGGCTAAGCACAGCCCTAGCAGCATAAGTAGCATGTGTGCACCCGCATATCCATGACCCTGGCCCTGCGCGATTCTGTCGCTTTGCCCTGCTCTTGCAAACGGCTGAAGGAACGTTGGAAAGTTTCCCTGAGCTCGGAACATTTAGCTAATTGTGTGGGACAGGGCAGCTCTTGTTCACTCTTCAGCTGGGACATTAGTTACAGCGGGGAGCTCAAATTCTAGTGCTTGTTCACTTCCTTTTGTTATTTCCCCTCTCTGCAGATGGGGAGATTACGTCCAAGCCAATGGTGCTGTTCTTGGGACCGTGGAGCGTTGGCAAATCCACCATGATAAACTACCTCCTCGGGCTGGACGACACGCCCTACCAGCTGTACACCGGTAATGTGTGCTCCGGCTCGCCCATTGTTTCTGCTTAATGTGCTGTGCAAAGGGTACAAGCAGGCACTGTCACTTGTACATTCAGCCAGAGCGTGGCTGGTAAACATTGTCCCCAGCTGCTCTTTGAACCTCCCTTTTTACTCATTGCAACCTCCCAAGCTGTTAGGTGACAGCCATCACTCTGGTCAGGGCGGGCTTGAATCCTTGCAACCCTGCTCCTGTAAGAGTCAGAGGAATTGGTGCAGAGAAAGACAGATGAGATTCCTCTTCACCCCCCGGGATCAAGCTGTGCATCTGCCGAAGCAGCATTCCTACTTCCTGCAGTCCAGAGGCTCAGGACTGAGATCTTCCATCCTGATAGGGCATTGCACTGCAGGTCACTTTCCAGGCCAGCAGAGTAACAATCTTCTAACAAGGGGAACTTGCCCTTTTCCTTCTATCCTTCCCCTCCATGCGTGGAGCCAATTAATTTACTTTAACAACAGGCATGACATTTCCCATCTCCTCTTCTCAGCTCCCACTCCCTTTTATCCCTGAACACCGCTGAGCGTAGCACTGCTGAATTAAACCCTGTACTGAGCTCTGGGCATAGGGAGAATCAAGGCACTAGAAAGCAGAGCAGGAGCTGGTCCTTTATTATGCTTTTCACACTCGTGATATCTCAGTGTAGATTAACCACTGCAGGAAAAAACTGCACTCATGCATCCATGGAATAGCTACAACCTGGTCTACACTATAGAGTTTAGGTCGACATAGGCTGCCTTATGTCAACCTAACTCTGTAAGCGTCTACACTAAAATGTAGCTGCCACCGGTGTAATCCACCCACTACACCAATTTAACAACTCCACCTCCACGAGAGGCGTAGCCCATAGGTTGATGTAGTTAGGTCAATGCAGTGTCAGTGTAGACACTATGTCGCTTATATTGACACTTGCTGCCTTTCGGATGCAGTCCCACGATGCTCCACACTGAAAGTCCTGGTGAGGACACGCACCGCTGACACAAGGAGTGTAGTGTGGACATGCAAAGCAATTTAATTACTGTGGTGGCTGTACAAACTAACTTAGGTTGTCTTAATTTTATAGTGTAGACTTGCCCTATGTTTCCTCAAGACATTCTACAAGGCATGAGGTACATGATATTGCAAGATGCTCTCTGACCATACCTGTTGCTTTGGATCACCCTCTGTATATTCATGAGTAAGCAGTATCCTCCCCAGATAGTCTCAGACACCGAGTCTGACTCATTTCCAGCAGGAGAGCTTAGACTTTAGAGCTCACCTTCTCTGCTTCTCTTGTTACTGGACAGGGGCTGAACCCACCACCTCTGAGTTCACAGTCATCATGCACGGCCCGAAGCTGAAGACCATCGAGGGCATTGTGATGGCTGCTGACAGTGCACGCTCCTTCTCTCCCCTCGAAAAGTTTGGGCAGAACTTCCTGGAGAAGCTGATCGGGATAGAGGTGCCTCATAAGCTTTTAGAGCGGGTCACCTTTGTAGACACACCGGGCATCATTGAAAACCGCAAGCAACAGGAACGAGGTAGTAACCTGCTTTGTTCATTGTAAGAAAGACCAGAAAAGAAGGAGCAATATAAATGTGAGATAACAACAGTCCCTTGCTCTTCTACAATGCTGTTCATCAGTAGATCTCAAAGCGCTGTAGTATTTTCCCTGTTTTACAGGTGAGAGGAAAAAAGTGACAGTGGCTGATCCAGGAAGAGAACCAAGGTCTCCTGAGGCCCAGTTGAGGCTGTATTCATTAGGTCACACACAACAAAGGGCCAGTGAGGAGGTGTTGCAGGGCGTTTATTTTTAGATTGCAGAAGCATCAAAATTTTGCCCGCCTGTGTTTGTAATGGCCACCTGACACAGGCCTCAGGGACACACCCAATATTCATAAAATAGAGCAGATAGAGCATACTTCCACTTTAATATGGAGGGGCAATGTTCAGAGACTTAAGCAAGAAGGGGGTGTTTGTGGCCTTTGGGCTGTATTTAGCCTATGGGCTGCACTTTGCCAATTATTTTCTATCATATTCTTAAACCTTTGATCCAGGCCCCTGCCAAAACCTCTGTGTTAGAGCAGGACACGATGGAATGCTGGAACACCACAACTTCCAGGATAACGTATCTCACAACTGGGGTAGCACTGCTGGGGTTTGTCACCCCATAGACTAGATACATTAGGCAGCATTGGAGTGGCCAAAGCATGGCCTCAGAAAACAATCAGAGCACAGATAATCAACAGCAGGCTGCAGAGAAAAGGAAAGTTTGGAAGTGACTTGGAAGGAATTTAATTCCAGAAGAAGCAAAACACACCCCCAACCACTAGGAGGCAGCAGTGTGTACATCAGAGTGGGCCCAGAGGTGAAAGGCAGTACCACCATATTAATAAAATGTTTGAATGGTCTACTAAAATCTGTTATTTACCTATATGCTCATCAGTGCATTAATTACACGGCATCCCCACCTCCGTTCTCTCAATATCTACCTTAAATCCAGGGGGAAATCCTGTTCCAATGGCAAAACTCCCGTTGACTTTACTGGGGCCAGAATTTTATCAGAGAATGCCAGCTAAGGCACCAGTGCTAAGTGAATATAGACTGATTGTGGATATTGGCGCCAAGCTGTTCTGCGATGGTTTTAGTAGCTGAGAAACGAGATTTCCCACTGCATGAGGTCTAAGTCTGAAGGGGTCTGAGACGTGGTAGGCCTGTGTCGTATCTATGCTGGTGACTGAATGGATTGGTCCTGTATTAGATGTGGGGAGCTGGACATTTCTGGTTGATTTTTCTCTCTCCTTTCCCAAAGGTTACCCATTCAATGACGTGTGCCAGTGGTTCATCGACAGAGCCGACCTCATCTTTGTCGTCTTTGACCCTACAAAGCTGGATGTGGGTCTGGAGCTGGAGATGCTGTTTCGTCAGCTGAAGGGCCGGGAGTCTCAGATAAGAATAATCTTGAACAAAGCGGACAGTCTCGCCACCCAGGAGCTTATGAGAGTCTATGGCGCCTTGTTCTGGAGCTTGGCTCCTCTGATCAATGTCACTGAACCTCCCAGGGTCTATGTCAGTTCCTTCTGGCCCCCGGAATATCACCCTGAAACCCACAAGGATCTGTTCCTTAAAGAAGAGATCTCACTCCTAGAAGACCTTAACCAGGTGATTGAAAACAGGCTGGAGAATAAGATTGCCTTCATCCGCCAACATGCCATCCGGGTTCGCATCCACGCCCTCCTGGTCGACCGCTATCTGCAAACCTACAAGGACAAAATGACCTTCTTCAGTGATGGGGAGCTGGTATTCAAGGACATTGTAGAAGACCCTGACAAGTTCTACATCTTCAAGTCTATCCTGGCAAAGACCAATGTCAGCAAGTTTGATCTCCCCAACCGCGAGGCTTATAAGGACTTCTTCGGCATCAATCCCATCAGCAGCTTCAAGCTGCTAGCTCAGCAGTGTTCCTACATGGGAGGATGTTACCTGGAGAAGATCGAAAGGGCCATTACTCATGAGCTTCCTGATCTCTTGGGGAGTATTGGCTTGGGGAAGAAGCCCAGTGTTCTCTCCTGTGACACAACTGGCTGTGGTGAAACCCCAAGGAACCGCTATAGGAAACCATAACATGCTATGTACTAACATAACCATTCATGTTTTCCTGTTGGTGAATGAGCTTATGTCTTATCTGTCCAAGAAGCCATGGTTTATTAACCCTTTGAGTGCCACACTGGCAAGAGCTACGGTACAACGAGGACTTTGAGTCATTGACATTAATGGCAGAGGAAGCGGGGTGGGCATAGAAAAGAGAATAAAGAACTGTGAATTCCTGACATTATCTTTGTTATTTTAAATAGAAAGCAATGTTTAAGCTGTAAGTAAAAGCAACAAATGGTGAACTAACGCTTTAGCTGCTTTTTCGCTGGTACTGAAGTTCATGAGTGTGGAACAAGAAGTTCAACCTTTGCATACACTAAGCAGACAGGGAGTAGGAAACGCAGACTCTGGAATGATAACCTGGAGGAAGGCTCCGACACCTTGACCTGGAGAGGGTCACCGCTGGGGAGAGAGAGATCCAGCAGAGTAAATGTCAGCTTTTGGTGGCTGTATATAGGCATGAGGACCACAGAAATGCCTATACATAAATAATCTGTTTATTTTCTTTCCAAGACTTGTAGGCCATCAGGTTCAGTTCTTTGTGAGCTCCGTTTGGATGATAGTTGAGCTATAACTCAGAATCTTTAGCATTCACCAAGGTATTAGCCCTCTCCTATCCCCGGGGTAGGGAAAGAAAGACCCCATGTCCATGTTTAGACTGGATTCAGTCCAATCTCTGGAAACATATGGCATTGTTAGCACCAAATGCATGTCCCAGGTGGGATTTGGAAGTCTGGCTCAGAAGGAGAAATGGACTAGAGCTGAAAGAGCAATGGCACTTGAGTTACGTTTGAAAGACAGTGGCTGTAACTCAAGAAAGTTCAGAAGAAAGCCTTTGAAAGCACCGGTCTGTCCCTGTGCCTGAGAAGAGGCAGAGAGCTTAGTGTATGCATTTGCCGTTAGCGTCATGCAGTTGTTGGCAAGTCAAGCACAAACCTTGGTAGGGCTCAGAGGGTTAATCGATTTGCATTTTGACCTTGTTTATGCCAGTGTTGCATGTTTTCTCCAAGTCAGATCCCTGTGTTGTTGTTCGGTTTGGAGGAAGACAGGTACACCCTCCGTTTCACAGCTGTTGCCTGTTTTCTCTTCCAAACTTTTTGCTGTAGGTTAGGCAGTCAAAGGTGTCTGGGCCCTATCTTATTTGGGCTGAGCCAAGCAGTCATATTTATTTGTTGGCGTTGCCATGTTGTTCACCTGCCCCAACACACCAACACCCAAAATTGTGAGTTGCAGGAAATGATGCCATCAGAACCAGTTCTAGCCTCTTTGTGGACATAGTTCATTGTAGATGGCAACTAAGGCACAGGGGAAGTATGGGAGCCCTCTTCACCAAGCAGGTATTGTTTGGTTGCAATGACCCAGCATGGCTGGTGGTTGAGCTAAGCACTAACTGAAGAAAAAGGTGGATGTTGCCCTGAACGGTGAATGGTGTACGAGACCTGGTAAATAGCCTTTCCTCATTATTCTCCGTGTCAAATGGACCAGAGGCTGGTCTTCAGAGAACCTTCTGAGTGGAAGTACTCACTGTAACATGCCTATGGGCCTTATCTGCTCGGGGTCAAGAATACAATGAAATGCCAAGCAAAGCAAGGCAAAGATAGAAAGACAATAGGAAAAAGAGCCATATGTTGGCTTTTTAAAGAAGAAACTTGAGCAGATGAGAAAGCGGAAGGTGCTGACCAGAGCCTGTTGGGAGCTTGGCATGGGGTCCGAAAGGCAGCACCTCTCTGATTCACATGTGAGAATAGAGATGGAGCTGTCGCTACAGGAGAACCAAACGTATCTAGCACTGGTCTGGAATTCAGCTTCCTTGCTGCTGAAACCTTGAGTTTAAAAGAAATGGTCTTTTAAAGCAATCCAGGTGAGTTCTAGTGGACACTGTTTCATGGGTGCTTGACTTGATCCAAATGTGTCACCCTGGAGGACACATCCGATGGGTAATGCGTCCCCAAAGGCTGGGTGCTGGAGAAGAAACAAGCACATCGATGAGTACTGCAAGAGGGCAGGTTACATGCCGAGGGATTTTGTGCACAGCACTGAAAGGAACCGGGGCAGCTATGAAGGCAAAAAGAGGCGTCAGAGAAACTGGCATCCAAAATAGCACAAAGAGAAGTGACATGCTGGTGAGTCAATATATAGTGAGGTCTCAGACTGCCTTGGAGCTGCTTCCTCCATTCACTTCTTTTACTCACTTCCTTTTACATTACCCCATTGCTCCTCCTCCTCCTTCTTTGTCTTGGTCACCCACTCTTTCTCACGTCTCATTGTTCTCCATTAAGCTTACCGGCTGCTCCTGTCACTTGGCCTAGTTTTGCATGGTTTTCTTAGGAGCGAATGAAAAAAACTGTGCTAATTTTGCCACTGCTTCTGCCATCACATTATGTTTTATTGTCACCATAAGCAAATAAGTCTGTTAAACTTTTCTAATTCTCTGTGCCTTATTCTTCCTGCTTGTTCTTTGCCTTTTTGTTTCTCTTTGCTGTGCTGTCATCTTCTTTTTGTCTTCCCCTTTTCTTCAGTCTTTCTCCTGCCTTTTCTTTCCTCCATTTCTTGCCATCCTCTTTTCACTATACCCAGGTCCTTCCTTTCTAGTTCCCTCTAGGTCACTAGCATCCTGCCGGTCATAAAGCTACTGCTCTCCTTTTGGGTGTTGGTGTAGGTGAGGATTATGGTGTGGCTGGTGTTACCAACACGATATAGACGGAGGAATGCTAGCAGCATTGAGGAGGATGTAAAGCATGGTTGTCTACAGGTACTGGGCCTGTTGGTTGACGTCCTGTTGGGTAAGCATTCATTGACAATGAAGATCTCTGCATATACTCAAGAAAATTTCCTGTAATTGGATGAGTTCACCTTTTCACATGCGACTGACACAAGCACAGTACTGGCTCAAAAGCCCAGCATAGAGGCTCATGCACTGATCGTAACCACCTTCCCATCTGAAAATTTACACTAGGATTCTCTTCTTAAAAGCACTCCTGGCGCTCCAACTTTAACCCCCCTGTGGCCTGACATAAGGTGACCCTTAAACAATGGACCTAAGAAGTTGAAGAGAGATTTTTGTGCATTTGTTTGTTAACTGCACATCTAGCTGGGCCCACTCTCGGCTCTTGTTGGCTGCCACAGCCCTTGTTGGGAATCTGACACATTTCTGATGGCCTTTCTTCCCAAGCCCCTTGACACTTGAAATGACTTGCATGGCCACAGCAAGTGATTGTTAGTCTAAGGAGGTCTGTAGTTCAAAGCCCACCTCACCTGGCCCAGTCTGATTACAAAGCAGGCTCCTACCATCAATCTGACTGTCTCTGTTCTATGAAACAAAATTAACTTGATTAGAAACAAAATATAAAGCATGACATGAGTGATGTGTCTCTGAGTTACAGGAAATGCATCAGGAATGAAAACAGGGAGCCTGAAGACTTTTTTTAAATTTTGCTAAAAAACCCAACATCCCTAAACCCACTGTTGTGTGCTTCTTTTTTAACAGGAATCTGGACAGACACATTATAAGGAATTACATGCTGTAATATATTCCCAATTAGGTGTTCATGATAATGTGCATTTGGATAAAATTGTTGGTCCTGTAAATCATCCCGTTTAATAAAATCAGTATTTTTCAAACACATTCCACGGCTATATTTGCTTTCTTTGCCTGTCCACAGAGGTGCTGGAACCATGGACTTGCTTCTGTTGAAGTCAATGGGAGTTTTGTAATTGGCCTCAAAGGGAGCAGGATTGGGCCCCATGCAGTAGAGCGGTGCTTATACAAAACGAGGGGACGAAAGGACAGAATCCCAGATTGCGCCTCTGAGTTCCAAAGGGAAATGAAATGTTGCCCTCAGATGCACACAGGTGGCTCTGGTTGATGTTCATGCTGCTAACAGAAAGCATAGAGCAGTACCCAAACTGGACGGGGAGATGATGGTGGAATAGGGAAGCATCAGAACACCCAGCTTTCAGCCTTTGCCATACCGCAATCCCATGTTACAAAAGAGGGATGTTTTGGGACCCACACCCTCTCAGTGAGCCATAGAGAAGGGGAGAGCTCTCTTCATAGCTCCCCACACATGGCATAGTGGATCATCTTAGCTTTAGAGGCGAGGCACTCCTCCAAACTCAGCTTCTACTGCCTCACCTCTCCTGCAACCATTTCAGGATGTGCTAAAAGGGGCACCTCACCTAACCACAATCCAGCTGGCACAGTGCTCCATGCTCACCAGAGGAGAGCTCCCCCATCATCTTCTTGCTCTCCCTCACCCAAGAACCCACTGCCAGGCCTCCTCTCCCTTTCGGGGCCTCGCAGAAAAAATGGCTCTCATAGGACATGGCTCACCTGGTACCACTCCAGTACAGGAGCATCGGTTAGGAATAAGAGGCATTCTTTAAGGACACATTCAACCCACACTTTCCCAGTTAAGGTTTGCGCTGGACACTGCTGGGAGCTGTAGAGTCTTCAGAGGAAGGGCCATGGGCACCACTGGAGGCAGTTCAATGAAACTTCTGCTCAGCGTGCAGCTGCCAGTATCAGGATGCATAAGGAATGGGATGGAAAATAACATAGAGAATGCCTTCAATCAGTGATGTGGCTTTGTGCAGCACTGGTCACCCTATCTCTCACACGACAGGGCAGAACTAAAGGGGTTCAGAGCAGGGTGATGAGAATGACCAGGGGCCTGGAAAAACTCTCATGAAGAGATACTGGAAAGGCTGAGATTATTACCTTAGAAAAGGGACAAATCATCATAAAAATCTATGAAACAATGAATGGGCTAGACAAGGGCAATGAGGACTTCTGTTCTCCCTGTCCTCTAACATAAGAGCAAGGGGACAGTCAGGAGATTAAAAGGTGGGAAATTCAAACTCCAGAAAAGGAAACACTTTGCCCACACATGTGATTACACTGTTACACTCGCTGCCGCAGGAAGTCACTCAGACCAAGAATTTAACAAGATTGTAAAGGGGACTGGGTATTTATATGGAGACTATGAATATCCAGTTATTGTAATTAATGACGACAAATTCTGGAAGGGGTATTAAACCTCACAGCGCAGGGTTTAGGCCAATCACTAACTAGCAGAGACCAGGTTGAGACACAGCTGGGGTATGTCACAGATTATCTCACATCTACTACTGTGGGGCTCTTGCACCTTCTGATGCTGGCCGTGGTAGGAGAGAGGCTCCTGGTGTGGATGGCCCTCAGGTCTGATACAGCCTAGCTGGTCCTACATTGCTCTAAAGATTTAGCTGCCAAGTTGTCCTCTTGCTTATCCCAATTTTACGTGGATTCTTCCTAATCTACTCCAGCTACATCTACGCTGGGCACAAGGGGTGTGATTCCCATCTTGTATAGACATATTCACACTAGCTCACATTGAACTAGGGTGCTAAAAATAGTAGGTGTAGTCATGGTTGCATAGGCAGTAGTGAGTGGCAGTACAGGCTAGCTGCCTGCATATGTATTATAGTGAAGCAGAGTGACCTCCCTCCGAGCCTGAGCCCAAGGGACCATTACACTCTCCTGGTGGGTGGAGCTGAGCCAGTCCGGCCCCCCGTGCCGGGAGTACGGGGGCAGGGCAGGAAGTACAAAGAGAGGGCCCTGCAACTCAGTTGAGCGGGAGCCAGATGGGTCTCCATTGCTCCAGAACCCCGCCCCCAGAGGAGAACAACCCTGGAGAGGAGCTGCTGGGACTGCTGTCCACAGTGTACCCCAAGAAAATGGAGGACTCTTGGACTTTGGAACCCTCAACCTGGACTGTGGTAGAAGGTAGCCCTTGGAAAGCAGACTTTAGTCCGATTTTGTTACCAGTGTGTTTTGGAGGGATCCCCACTGACCTAGTGGTGAAATCATCTGCCACTGTTAGAGCCCTGGGCGGGGACCCTACCTGCTGCTACCAACCCCACCTCGGGGGGGCAGCCTATGACCCCTAGGGCAGAAGGCCTGTGCTTTGTTTGTGGCTTGCCCCAGCCAAGAGACTGTGGGCCCAGACTGTGTGTTTGTGGGCTGCCTTAGTCAGGAGGCTTAGGCCAAATCTGCTCCCTGCTCTGCGTGCCAGAGGGATAGACCGCTAATTGGCTGTTTGTTGCCTGACACTTTGACACACAGATTGGCCTCCGTCTGAGCCTGAACCCCAGGAACCCTGCACTACCCACAGGGTTCAGATAGGTTTGTACTCAAAGCAGCTGCTGGCCCATACCACTGCTGTCTGTGCTACCACAGGTACACTAGTATTCTTAGCACATTAGCTCCATGAGAACTTGTGTGACTGTCTTTATGAGCTGGGACTCACCCCTGCCCCCACCTCCAACTGCAGACATACCCGCTGTGTAAGAGGAGGATCACACCCTGCACAAAAAGGAGAGGCACCTAGTCTGTGAATACATCTGTGCCTCAAATCAGATTCGCCTGTGCCTCTGAGCTGGAGGGGGGGAGGGGAGGAAGAGGTCTGACCATGCTTGGGGATGTGGTTAGCGCACAAAAAGCAGGCCATGCTGCAGTTGTTTTCCACTCACCGCTGTGATACTGAGCAGGTTCAGGTGCTCATCACAAGTAGAGTATGGGCTGCTGCAGACCCAGAAATCTGCCTTTGCAAAAAGGAAGGGCTGGTCCCCCATCCATCTGGTCCTAAAAGAGCACGCTAAGGTAATTGCAGGCATGCCGTGGCGACCCAGCAAGCCCCTTTGTCATGAGGACTGTGGCACTGGCCTGGACATAGGAAGCGTGACACAGGGTGCATCTATCAGAGGCACCCTTTCTGCCTGACCAGGCGAGACTGGCCCCCACCCCCTTTGACCTCCAACTGACATGTAGGTGAATGGCCCTTTGGCTCGTTACTACAGTCCGCCTTGTGAGAAATCTCAGGTAGTGATCCTAGAAAGGGCCTGCAATGGTCACACAGGTAGGGAAAGGTTAAGGGAGGCCTCAAAGGCCAATTAAACCCACTGGTTACACCCAAGCCTGGTGGAGGAGGAGAGAGGTGGTGCTATAGGAGTCTGGCACAGAAGGAGGTGGCAGGGAGAGGAAAGGACTCCGCTCTTGGTACTAGAGGGTGAAGTGTGAGGGAGGAAGCCCAGGGCAGAGTTGGCCTTGGGATCCTCACCTGGGTAGAGGAGTCTGGGGAGGACGCCAGGAGAGACATGAAGCTGCTCCTAGGCTGGAGCAAGCTCAGGTGGTGAGGAGCCCTGATAAAAGGGCAGGGTCTGGACTTCCAGGGAGAGAGAGCCCGGTGTGGGGGAAAGGCAGAGGGCTCCACTGAGAAACCACGTGAGGCCCACCTCAGAGGGTGGAAGGTCAGCTCTAAAAACGGCAGCAGAGGGGGACAGTTTGTACTTTCGATTTGGGATTGTGTTGGGGGCACCGGGGCAGGCAGCATATCCTGGCCGCGAAGGAAGGGTGAACGTAGAGAAACTGTGGGGAGAAGGCCTGAAAAAAAGGCTGTGGTGGGAAGAAGTCCAGGCAGGTAGCAGCAAGGTGTCTCACAGAGCAGACCGTGGCTGCTGGCTGTAGAGTCCCTGGCCTGGCACCTGGTGTAGGGGGAGGGCCTGGGGTCCTTACGAGCCATGGGGGAAGAGGGCGTGAGGCCCTGAGAAGGGGACAAAGGTGACTGGAAGCCCTGAGACCAGAGGGTGCAGGGACACAGGGCCCAGAGTTGCGACCGAAGACCTGACGTAAAGCCGTGAGCAATTGCTGTGAGCCTAATAGTATCTCAGGGTCTAAGCAGGGTTAGATGCATCACAGCTGTGACTCTTGGGCACACGTGCAGGATTAAACTGGTAACCAGATTAGGAGGCAGGAAGGATTCCCCCTTCCCCCAGGGCAGATTGTCAAAGCTCCTGGGATTTCCCCCTCCCTTAGAACAGGAATCCCTATCATGATGAGGGTGGGGGAATCTCAAAGACAAATGCCCCACAACTGCCCAGAGCCTAGGGCTTTGTGGACGTTGTTACTTCCCATCGTTTCCATTTCCATGTATGAGTGGATTTGCACTATTCTGTTCATGGATGGCAGAGCCATTCTGAGGATGGCAAGACCGGCTCACTGCTGCCATGGTGCACGGCTTTTGCAAGTGCCACCCACACCAGTTCTGTCAGAAGTCACAATGGGAATGTAGGTTTCCATAGCACCTTTCAGCCCAAAAGGCAACCTTGATATAGGTCCCTACGGTAGCACTTAAATCCAGCGTCATGGGGAACTTTTCTCTCCAAGCTCAGAAGCAATTTTTCTTGACAGAAACGCTACTCACGCCCAAGTGCTGTCTAGGTCATTCAGTACAGTAGATGTCGGAGGAAAGCAGCCAGCCAGCCACACTTCTGCAGCCCTGCCTGGCTTTTGTCCAGTGCCACCAGCTTGCCGGCCTCTTCTCTAGCTTCCCAGCCATCCCTGCAGAGGCTCTGATGTTTGGCCAGCTGCCAGTGGGGGTGAGGCAGGTTGCTCACATTACCCCCACCTCCTTTTCTGCTAGCAAATCATGCTGGCTCCCTGCCCTCACTTCCTTCCCTCTCCACCAAAGAGACAACCAGCAGGGGAGGTGGAAAACTGAGGGGAAGGTAGAGGTGAGGGAACTGGTGCATTTGTGTAGGAATAATTACTAGATCTGGGGAGGAATGATGGTTGCATGGTATGGAGTT